CATTCACTAATAGCTGGGGTATGTCTCTTAATCGCACGATCTGGCCCCGTGGTGGTCAGTGCGCTTCCACAGGGGGGAGCACCGCTCAGCCAGAGCCAGAAGTCAGCTCATGACTTGCCAGAGCAATGGCGGTGGCAGGAGCGGGCCTAAGCTGTTAGTTAGACATTCCCCAAGGGCTCCTGGGCTGCCAGAGGGATGTCTGACTGCCAGCTTAGGCCCGATCCCCCAGGGAGTGGGCCTAAACCAGCAGGTGGACATCCCCCGATGGGGTCCCAGACTGCGAGAGTGCGCAGGCGGGCTGAGGGACCCCACCCCCCTTTCCGAGTGCACGGATTTTCGTGCACCGGGCCTCTAGTATAAGATAAAAGCCTAAGCGACCGGCAGACCGGCCGGTAGCTATGACGTGCACTGAACACCAAGGGGCAGACACTCAACGCAGGAGCGGAAACCACGGGCATGGAAACATGGAACAGACTGATGAATCTCAGAGGGAAGGGGGGCAAGCGGGAAGAGAGCAACCAAAGATCTTATTTGCATACTAGAGGCCTGGTGCATAGATTCATGCACCAGTGGGGTCACTCAGCCTGGCCTGCAGGGATTGGGCCGAAATCAGCTCTCTGACATCCCCCAAGGGGCCCTGGATTGCGAGAAGGTGGTTCTCAGGTGATGCACCCCGGAATGGGGCTCTCTCCTCTCTTCTCCCAATATTATGTCACTTTCTCTCTGTATCTGTCTCACTTCTTTCATCTCACTTTACCCTAAGTTTGGCAGTAACTGACGACTTGTGGGCATTTAGTTGCAAAATGCAATTATTTAGTAAACATGATTTACTTAGCCTGGAACCTAGTTGGCCTAGGGCAGGACCCTGCTCAATGTCAGGCTCCCACCCAGGCCCTTCCACCCAGGCAGAGTCCTGTGGCAATGGGAACCTCCTTCTTCCCACCTGAGCTGCTCCTTTGCTTCCTTCCCTCCCTGGAGGTTGCCCACTGGTGCTACTGTCTGCCCGGAAGGAGGGAAGCCGTGGCCAGTTTCCCAGCTGAGAGTGGTAGTGGAAAAATTTACTGCCTCCCCTGGAAATCGATATTAAGTGGATGGGCAGGCACGGGCGCCAGATGTTGGGGCTGCAGCCAGTAGTTCCTGCACGTCTCATCATTTAGCTAATCGAGTCGAAAAGTTTCTGTAAGGGCCAGACACATGACCTCTGCAATGGGCTAGAGGCCCATTGGGGAACCAGACCTGAAGTGGGAAGCCAATTGGCTAGAGACCCAGTGCACATGCACTGGTGGGGGGTCCCTTGGCCTGGCCTGTGGGGACTGGGCCAAAACCGGCTCTCCAACATCTCCCGAGGGGTCCTGGATTGCGAGAGGACAGTTCTCAGGTGGTGCTCCCCAGAATCGGGCTCCTTCCTCTCTGGTTCTGGGTGCGTCACCCGAGAACCGCAGTTACCAAGTCACCACAGCTCGGCAGCTCCTGCATTGAGCATCTGCCCCCTAGTGGTCAGTGCGCATCATAGCTACCGGTGGTCAGTCAGCTGGGTGCTTAGGCTTTTATATATATAGACTAGAGTTACGGTGCACGTGCACCCGTGGGGCCCCTCGGCCTGGCCTGTGGGGACTGGGCCGAAACCAGCTCTCTATCATCCCCCAAGGGACTCCGGATTGCAAGAGGGCACAGGCCAGGCCCAGGGACTCCACCGGTGCATGGATCCGTGCACCAGGCCTCTAGTGGAAAATAAAACAGAAGAGGGCAAAAGTGGTTAATGGCTATGAAAAAAAAGTTCTGTTCAATTATCTAATGTTTTCATTAACTATTTCTGCCTTATATCCATTAAGGTGGTAGCTGAACATACCATATTTTCAGATTCAAATACTATTCATCTATTGCCTTAGGTGTACTGCCTAGGGCACATCGCCTCTCTGTGCCTCAGTTTCCTCCCTATAAAATGGGGATAACAGTACCCACCTCATGGATTGAGGAGTTACTGATTTATTATAACCATAATCATTTAGAGCAGTGTCTGGCATATAGTAACACTTATTCTGATTATAGGAATAAAAAATGAACAGTTCACTAGTTGAGGATAAAGCTGAACCACGGAATACAGCTAACTCTATTTACATTAAAATTACGTAAAAGAAGAGGTGTGCACAAAGGAAGGGATGCTCTCACGTGAAAGTTTCAGATACACAAGTCTCTGAGCCGAGTGTAAGATTTATTGTGAGTTGTCACTTCTTTTTTGGAGAATCAATTAGAATAGTAACTAATTACAAAACAAGAAACCAGGATTCCTCATAAGGAAAAAAATAATTAATAAACCTAATAAAGGCATAAAGTGTGAGAAAGAAAAATACTGGATAATGATCAGCAGGGACTCATTCCATGAAACTAGAAAGAAATCAAGCAACAAAGTCCTTGATGTCCATAAAGCAGCACAGAGCA